CGGGGGGGGGGGGGGGGGGGGGGATATTAGAGACCCTTGCATCTGCCTGAGTACTAGATTAGCGTTGTGCATAACTCGTAATTATAGCCCGTATATTCTCTTTCAGAGGCGACAAGTATTTTGAGAGCTACGCCGTTGAGAACGTTCGCTTTGCCGACGCTGCTGTTGGTCGCTGTGATGCTGGAGGTGCTACCAGCGTCAGTAGACCTGAAACAGAACCACCAGCATAATAACCACCAGCTTAAGAATCCTTTTCGGCAGCAAGGGAGGGCACACGACCAACCGAAATTGCAAGAAGTAGACTTCGTGGAATTCGCCACATGTTCCCTGGGCGACACCGCTGCGGCCAGGCGTGAAGAAATCCAGCGACAGCAGCAGCAGCAAATGATGATTCTAGACCAGCAGCAGCACACGCTTCGGGAAGCAATTCGCAAGGGGTTACTTTCGTGGAGTGAAATCGCCAACTGGAACCTGACTTTTATAGAGGTTCAGCGGCTCTTCCTGCGAATCGTTCAGCTAAAGGTATGGACGCGACTGCGTTTATACGGAAAGATGTTTGTGGATGCCCACTAGTTGGAACACACCAAAACGTTTGCACTCTGGAGGATCTAATTGCAATATCTCCTCCAAGAGCTATGTGCATCTAGAGGATACTTGTGCAGCCGGTATCAACGTATTTTAAAGGGTATTCATTCCTCGTTTTCATCGTATTTGGTGACGTGTCATGGTGCTCTCAGATGCCTCCAGCAATCGCTGCCTTGCTAACACTGGAGAAACAAGTTGAGGAGTTCCTGCGACTCTTGTCAACCGCTGCACTTCCATCATTGGGGAGCACTCAGCCTCTGCCGAACGCGTCTTTGCTGCAGGCAGACACTCAGGAGCAGGCGCAAATATGCCAGCAGCCCTACTTGTCAGGCAACGACTCGCCAGCAGCACGCAGTGATGCCACCTTCTCAGCTGCTCTAACAGGAGATGGGGAAAGATCGAGGTGCTTCTGGCACGGATTCTGTGGCACTACTATTAAGGGGAGGCCGATCTACGATATGCCTCTAAAGATAGATGACTCAGTATCGTTGGAAGTACAAGACTCTGAAGACGCTGCCGGGAGTGACACTAGCGATTCGTCGAATTAGTTTGCGTGTGTTTGGAAGACAAGGGCTGAGGGCTAATTTGAGTGGATGCAACAACTCAACTATTGGTGTTTCAATTGGACTCAGGCCCCAGTGAGCACAAGTCCATTATGTCTTCCACTGGCAAGACAGATGGGGCAGTCCGCCTTTACTTCGTAGCCGGGCTGCACCAGTGAGTACAGATTATTCCTGTGCCTCGCCTGAGATATCTGAGCCCTTTGATTTTATAATATCTTTATGTGTGAACACAATCGACATATCCCTGATACAGTTAGAACCTTAGGCTCCAGAAACGCCTCCAGCGGTTTTCGTACTTCGGGAGTCTTAGACTGAAGAAGCAACGGGCCGAAATCTCCAATGTGAAGCCTGTGACTCTTGGCTTCCATCAAGAACTGGAGAGCAGTATTAGACTTCCCTCAATACAGAGAACTATGGGTTTGGACGGAAAGTGTAGGTGGTACTCTTCGCAGCAACGGTAACTTCTGTGCGCAGTGTTTACCTTTGTGGAAGTTCCAGACAGTGCAGGCGTGGTGGGCACCTATGGTGTATGCATAGCTAAGCATCAAGCATTGTCGTACTGCAACACGCCTTACGCTACTTACCAAATAATTCCACGAACACAACCAAGCTGTTGTGTTATCGTTTGGATTGTCTTCTTCAAGTCACCCCTAAGCAAGCGTTCAACTCGAAGCAGGCCAGGCTAGCTCCTAAATGCTAGCTGGACCACCAATCTGGTGTTCGTGTGCTTCTTCGTGGAAGCGGTTTTGCTTTGAGGAAACGATTGACGGGGCCATTCAACGGCCCGATCAGAGTGCGGTTCGGGGTGCAGCTCTCAGAAAGGCTGCTGGCTACAGGCCGTTAAGCCGCTTCTACTGATGTGTGTGACTCCTCATGGTGCTTTTATTGGTACCGTTGCCGCTACCTGTGCGGCAGAGATCTTGCGATGGGCGCCGTCCTGTGCCTGTACTTGTGGTCCTGTGTTTGATCGGTGGCAAGAGCTGCCTGAATTGCTGGTTTCGGTGTTTTGGGTGAAAACTCTGCCCTGCCCCTGCTGAGGGTTGCTGCGGCTGCGGTTGCGTTGCCATTGCATCTGCCAGCAGGGTGCTGCCTATCCTCGAGCTTGTGTTGCAGCTTGAGCGCCGGGGCTTGCGAGGTTCCCCCGACGGTGATGGGAAGTGCCCTCGGGAGCTGCATGTATTCGTGCTGTGAGCCCGCTGTTTACTTTCACGGTTTCTGCTGGCTGACAGCATTTCATTCCGTGTGACTAGAGATTCATGCCGGTACAGATCTTGCTTCTGGTGATGCATATCCACAAGTCCGCTTCTAGAGGATGCAGACGCTGATTTGGAACGCCTCATGGGACTTCCAATTATTGTGGGGTTTTCGCGATCCTTCACAGCCCTGCTGTTGCAAGAGAGTTGGTATGATGGAATCGTCAGGAGAGAGTTAAGAGGCGCACTTGAAGTGCTGCGAGTTGACGGGTTGGTGGATGAGGGGCCCCTCCCCGCTAGCTTCGAGCTTGAAGGCTTTATGGCAAGACTTGGTGGGGGGACAGATACTCGCGTGGCGTCGTGAAGAGCCCCCTCTTCAGCTGGACCCGCAGCAGTCAATACACCAGTTTCTTGCTGTGCCGACTTTGGATCGCCGTTTTCTTCCAACCCACTGCACCCATCCTCGACCTCGCCATCATCGTGGGAGACTGTCATAGGACCCAGCCACGAGAGAACAACAGGCAGTAACACCATTCCATGCGCTGCTCCAAATAAGACAACCTGTAAATGTCAGAGTGAGACAAAAGCGATGCAGTAGCCGCATGCTATGGAGGCCAACCAGTGGAAACTTGAAGTCCAGTGGAGGGATCATGGACATGAATACATGTCCAAACAGTTAAAACCTGCATTCACTGGGGTGCCTGTAAGAGAACATCTAACGCTTTTAGATGCATCGCTTCTTCATTTACACGTTATGCGGGAGATTGACGCACCATGACCATCATTCGGAAGAAAACGGTGAAGACAAACGATTCGCTAAACCCAAGCAACAATACACCGAGAAGTGTGGAGGACGCTCCGTGAAAAAGGGGATTGCCCATTAGCACTAGCGCCTCTATTGCCCTGCACATCAAACAGACGCTCGCATATTGTTTCCATGCGTATCATTTATTTTATGTAGCATTTAAGCGCCTCTCCACAGGTACACGTGGCCACAGCATGAAACCTTCGGGGACAAAAATCGGTATCTTCTTTAAAGCTACAGATCGCGATCGAATCTCGCGAAGAGCCCCTCGGAAAACTGCTGAGTAGTGACAGCACTCACTTTACATATACTTGACAAGTTTATTTAATTAAATTTACTACTTTGAGGACCCATGGTGTGCACATGCCTTTGATTGCGAGTCTTCCCTAGGCAGTGGGTGAAGCAGTGACACATGTGTGCTGAGTAGTCCACTGCAAATCCAATTGAAATGACCAGAGCAATCGTCGACACCATGTGGAGCTTCACCTATACAGGCCAGATAACATAGAAGCTCCCTAGATGGTGCTTAAGGACCTCATGCGTCGTCGTTTTGACGTATGCCTCTTTAGGAACCGATGCAATATTGGCTCTCTTGAGATATTACAATTGCAGTAGGCTCCCGTTCGTCTAGAGTTTATTCAATTTACCCTTTTCTACGTACGGCTCTTCTACTGGCTATGTGGGACATGGTCTAGCTTACCTGCCAGAAATACATAAAGCCGAATAGCGCCAAGTCGATGAGGCAAATCATCATAATCACCAACAGGCCTGCGCTAAGCTCTGGAATAAGAATAAATGCTACCTGAATACCAAATCCGCAAATACGACGCAGGCTCTCGACAAGTTAAGGCTGCTTCCATACTTTGTAGGGGCACGACGATGTCTCATGCTAGTAAACGTCATAGGTTTTGCAGCCTCCTTCTTGTTGGTCGTATGCATCCGCCTCAAAATTCCCACTGTCCCTTACCAGCAGCATTGCCACCCCTGCAGACAGCATGTTGACGAGAACGGAGCTTAAGATGCCGAGGTCGCTCTCATAAAACACCATCATGTAAGTATAGGAGGCGATTTTGAGGGGAGCCATTGGTGCATTTTTAAGCATCTCGAGATCTCGTTGCATTTGCATCTGTTCGTAGAGAATTTCGGGGTCGTCAGAGAGTTCTTGTTGTTCCACCTCCTTCAACATGCTGTCCAGGAGAGTCTCCGGATCTATCATTGCGTCGCAATCTTGCCGAAGCTGTTGCATCCAGAACGCCCTCTGCTCTGACCGTGCCATATACTTTGGCAATAAGCGCATGCGGTATGTCTTGAGCTCAGAACCACTCCACACAAAGTCCAGCGCAAACTGACGATAGGGAGAGCCCGCCTGCATAAGCTGGTAGTAGAGAGTATCCAGGAAAATCTGTAAACATGCACGGCATGGGCACATGACTGGGTACACATGCGTGATTGATACATTGCCAAGGCATGCTTGCTCAATTCATCAATGCTCTTTGTAGGCAAGTGTTGCTGGCGATTCATAACCATTCCGAAAGGCACCAGCACGGGTTTCCGTTGCAAGCTGCTTGCCTGTTTATCTCCCTGCCTGAGCTTTGGCCCTATTTCCGGATCATCAAGCATAGCCAACAAGGGGTTGATGAGCCGAGAGGTGGAAGGCCGCGAAGATATGCGGTGATGCGCTAAGCGCAAAGCTGCTTGCACTTCGGGTTTCCACCACTGGGGAGTTTGAAGTTGCTGCTGTTTCTGCTCAGATATCTCTGAATTAGGACCCCTCCCGAGGAACTCATCAGGGTCTAGTAAATCAACATCGGCGGTTCGGTCTTGCGGAGGGTGCTCACGAACGGCAGGAAGAGTCGGAAGAAAGAAGATGTCGGTTGGTTGATCGAATTTGTTAAAGTACTCTGCGTACACTTCGTCGAAACGCCGCATGTACGACGTTACGGGGGCTAGTTCAGATATTTCAAGCCCCAACTCGAGCTTGGAAAAGCCGAAAATGCTCACTGCCGCAATGGTGAGGAAGATCACTAGGACAGCAATCTGCCCGCACAGCACAACACGGCGAGAAATTTAACAGCCAACAGCTGTCGACCGCTTTAGTCAACCCCATATGTAGCCGAAATGAACGGAACCCCCAATCCCCTCGTTCTGCAACCTTTTCCAGCACTTACCTTCACAGGCTTTTTCATTAAAAAGGGCCCGTAGTAGCACAGGAAAAACGTCCTCCACCGACGCCCCACGGAGCCTCGTGGCTCATCGTAGAGCGCATGCCTTGCCAGTTGGGGGTTGAGACCGCGCACAGTTGTCCTCAGCACCACCTCCTCCCCCTTATGCTTCACATGCAAGTGCTGGGAGGCTCTGCATAGCAAGCCACACAGGTGCCTGTGAGCTCTCAGCTGAACGCGGATGTTGTGTTCGAGAATAGCCAGCTCGCACCACCTCTGTATTTAATGAATGATGGCTTCCCCTCGGCGTGCATCAGCTAGTACACTCCAATTGTCAGTGGAAAACTGTGGCAGCTGGAAAAAGCGTTTAAGCTCTACTGCCCCTCCCATGTGACAAAAGAAACAGAGGGAAGCACGAGTTTTATGAAGACCTTACGCATATTTCAAGAACCTCTTTACGGAGGAGACTGCGCGGACTAAGAGAGACTTCCTCGCTATATACTCCTCTGCGTTCTGCCCCCCCTTTCGGCCCTCGCGCTCTTCCCTCCTCATTCGTTTTCGCAGTTCTTGCTCTTCAAAGAAGACATTGACTCTATAAGCAACGATTTCTTCCTGGGAAACTGACTTCAAGACGTTGTGAACGTGCAGTTCAGCAGGGCCCATGTGAGCTTTCTCATCTTCCAGCTTCTTATGAAGTTGCGACGTTGTGGGCAAGCAGAAGGGGGAAATTCGAAAGTAGAACTCTCGTTTTGCATCAAGGCAGAGAACAGGAAAGAAAAATGTCAAAACAAAGATATAACCCAGCAGCAAAGCCATCGCACTGTACACACAAAAGTTCCGAATCGACAGATAGGTGCTAAAGGAACCAACACCGAAGGAAATGAGATTCGTAAGAGTTGTGATTGTGATTCCTAGACCGGATGTCTTGAGCGTATCAATGCATCTCTGCTCTGGGTCATGGGTTGTGTACCCCATGCAGTATGCATTCAACAGCACAAAAACATCATCTACGCCGATTCCGAGAACTAAAAAGGGGCAGATAAGCACTGTGGGCACCATTGCCACTTTCATGTAACACACAATGCCCATGCCGGCCCCCAACCCCATGAAAGCTGCGAAGAACCCCATGAGCGAGCTGAACAGCTTGGAGCGGTACAAGTCGCACGAGAAGTTGAGGGCTGTGGAGTAGCTGGCGAGGAGAAAGAATGTGAAGACCACGTAGACCACATCCTTGGATTCCGCAGTAGAGGCTTTGAGCTCGTCATCTCGCGACCGAAACGCCTGAAAATAGGCTCGAAGACTGCCCAGCGTTTGGTTTGCCTTGAGGACCTGAATGAGCAATCGCTCCCAAGTGGCGTTTCTCTCTTCGTGCATGGGTCGCCCGTCGGCGTCATAATGCAGCATCAGCGCACTGGCAGAAGTGATGCATTCAATAGATCCCAAAACAAATGCATCTTCTGGGATGGGTAGTTCCCTTATGGCTGATGGGGGCAGGAGCCTCTCGGCCACTGCACGAGGCATCCGTCTCTCACACGCCTCCTTTGTGAAACCACCCAAGTAGTACTCCGGAATGAATGCCACTTGCTGTACGTTGAATGCAGTGCCACCAAAAAGCCACACTTCCGGCTCCCCCTGCACCAGGCCCGCTGCTTTGTAGTCTGCTAGTCCGAAAGACAAAACCGATTCAGCAGAGCAGCCACCCAGTGCGTTTCGCAGACACACATCTTCAAAGGTAAGGAAGGCTGACTCGTCAGTCACGCTGTGCTGCCCCGGCGCCAGACCTTCTGCTCCTTCCTGGCTATTTTTACTGACGTTGGAAATGACATCGGGGGAGCGGGGAATGACGAGCTTTCGTCCCATTTCAGGGTCGGTGTCTTTGCCTTGAATGATCGAGTCTATGCGCCGCACCTCCTCCAGGTGCTGCCATGTAAGGATGTTCGTGCCTTTGACCTTGTGGGTAAGAATCACCACACTCTTCCGCCCGTGCACATCTCCAAACAGACTTTCGTGGAGCACTCCGTCATCCCGAGCTCGAGAAAAAGGTAGCGTGTAGAGCCGCTCGGCGCCGTCAATCCAAATGGGGGTAGGGGGCAAAAGCCCAGTGGAAAGAATGAGGCACGCAACGAGGGACCCACAGATGATTTTCAGCGGGTGCCGGAAACAAAGACCCCCCCACCAAGCAAAGCCGTCCCCTATTGACTCTACAACCCCATGCTTCTGGCTAAGGAGTTCCCCACAGAAACGCCAAAACGCCAGCACTGCCCTCCACAGCCGCGTGCGTAGCGTCATTTTCCTCAGTGGGAAAATGTGCAACTAATTATTAAACAAGAGGATATTAGGGAATTACGTGGGATGAGTTTAAACGCAAGTAGCCAATCTGAGATGGCAGCAAGAATGCGACCAGCTTCGTTGGAGGTCTGAGACCCTTTCCTAAGGAGCGAACTCCGATGTAGCTCGGGAATGGAGTCTTCAGATCGGTTGCTACCGTCTAATGAAGGAGAAACTGGAATTCATGGCGAGGCAGCATCAGCCGGACTGACGTGTGCCGCTGCTGCTATATATACTACTGAGCTAGCCTCCCCCCAAGGAAACTCTTCCTGGGTCTCTGTTGCTACTCCAGCGCAGCAGGGAATGCTGTTTCCGCTGGTTTTTGTTTAAAGTGATGACTATGTTGCGGCCTCTGTTGCTCCCCATGAGCGGTGGGTAGTTATTTACACCGTCACTGGAAAGGAATGAGCAAATCTGCGGAAGAACCCTCCCCTTGGCCAACTCGAAAGCGCTCCTCCCCGGTAGATTGGAGTTCACTCATAAGGAAAAGATTGTAACTACAACGAACATGCAGTGTAGGGTCCGCAGGATTTGCCGGAACTTTGATGCGTGATCCTTGCTCTGGCACTCCCTGTCGGCCGCGGAGGGCTGAGACGGCGGAAGCCACCTCCTGTTGAAGCTTCCTCCTAAAAAAAATCCTAATCAAACAATTAAAAGAGGAAACACTCGAAAGATGTGCAGGGAAGAGGGCCGCTGTTCTGCCTGAGCTGGAAAGTCCAGGTGACCTGCGAGGGAAACCCCACGCGGGAGGAAAAAGCTCGGCCTATGGCCGCAAGGGGTCTTTCGAATCCTCTTTGCACGTCTACTGAAAAACCATTAAGGACAAAATTCCCTTTAAAACATATTTCAAACAGACCACAGGCCTATTGCTCCCTCAACAACGGCTTCAATAGAGTACCAGCGCGACGCGCCGGACCGTCGCAGCCGACAACGGCCGCCACTGGGCCAGCCCCTTATGCAACCCCTCTTTCTTCAATTTAATGAATTATATCAAGCTAATAGTGTGGGAATACATTTCTTGATGAGCTGAGAAACCCCAACAATTCCGAAGAAGGCGTCATGTCCTCACTCGGTAAGCAGACACGCCGCCAGCTGCTGCGTCTGCCAGCCGAAGCCACATCACGAAAATAAATTGGTGTAGCTCAACCCCTTTCCCCCACAAGCATAAATTCCATTAACGGTCGAAGTAGAAGATATTTGGTACCATACAAACAGGATTGTTTGCAGGGGGGGTTCAGCGGTTTTGCACTTTGCGTGAGACGTTTGATTGGCAAAAAGTCGTATTAACTCTTCAGTTGCTGGGGTAATCAACGGCATAATTGCCTGTAGGTGGGTCAGCGGGACGTTTCTGCCTGTTTCGTGGTGTATGGTTGGTCCCCGCATTAGGGTCTGTGATAAGTATGGGTCGTGTTAAATGGGTTTCTGCCAACTTAGGGGCAACGCCCACTGTTTCATAGATTGAGACCCTATAGATGCTAGGGTGGCAGAAACGAAAGGGCGGAATAGCTTTGTTAAGGTTTTAAAATTCTTCTGAGATCTTCGTTGCCTCGTCTAGGGGTATTGAGTTCAGTGCTGCTCGTCAATGCAAGAGCCCCTCTCTTTTAGTGTTACTGCTAATTATACTGCATGAACTCCACGAGGTAACAAATGTGTCTGGCCCTTTATCAACTCGTTTCAAGTTCCTTACGTGCAAGATGCGCAATGCAACAGAAAGAGAAGAGGAAAATTCCTATACTTCGGCGGGTTTTCCTGTTCATATTGGTTGTGCCTCTCATGCACCAGACAATAAGGCTGGCTCCTGCCCAAGCCCGCCAAAGCGCAAAAACATGCCTAAATTGAGTTAGTAGAATAAAATGGCACTTCGGCGTGTCTGCAAGTTCCCAGCTAAAGCCCCAGCGACGCAGGTTGGACTGGCGCTCCATACTAGACCAGGAAAGTTTCAGTCTCCCTAAATTTAAACATATACAATATATAAGTACAAAAAGAATCAATAATAACAATATATATTATATATGCACAGTAAACATCCCCAACCTACACCAGCAGCAGCCACCGCTGCCGCGCCACCCACTGCGACTCCATTTTCTGCACTGAACCGCCTGCGCCTCCTTTCTTTCTTCCTAGAAATATATTCAGGTTTCTGTAACACCTCCCTGCCTACACTTAGGCACTTATGTGCATGCAGAGGCGCATGCAACACCAGCCCCAAATGCTTGAACGACGTGCTGCGATGACACGATCGACCAACCAACCACCAGCAGCACGACACTGTTTGCTATCTAGCAGCAGCGGGCCACCTCTGCAACCCCAGCAACCGCGTTTGTAGCAGCAAGCAAGCATGCGCAGCAGCAGCGCCTCTTTGAGCACTTTTGTATGGTATGCAAGCTGTTGCTGCTGGTGGGAATGCGGGTTTATCGGCTGAACAACCACTCAGGAGCTTCGGCAGCTACCTTGTCCCTCTTACGCAGCTTCGCCCGCTGCATGGCCTGTCTTTGTTTGCGCTTTTTCCTCTTTTGTCTGTTGGCCTCGCGTGCTGGGTGCTGCGGGTACACTTCAACGACGGCGGACTCGCTGTCGCTGCTGCTGCTGTCGAGGTAAATGACAGAAGAAGGCTTCTCAGAGGAGTCAGAAGACACACTAGTGAGCACCGATGTTGCTGTACCCTTGGCCTTTGTGGTCTTTTGTGCAGCAGGAAAGCCCAAAGTTGAAACTCCAGCAACTGTTCCCCCGAAAGGATATGTGGGGCTGCTGCTGCGAGAAGAGGACGTCTCATGGTCCTGCTTGCTCTCTTGCTTCCGGTGTTTCCGTTGCTTCTGCTGCTGTTGCTCCTGCTGCTGGTGCTGCCGCATCCACGGGAATTTGTGCAGGTTTTCTGCGGCACCGCTGTCGGAAGATGCTTCGGATACTTCCTCTTCGCCGCTTATTTCCTGTTCTGTTAAATCAACTAGCGGCTTGCGAGGTGCAGGAGAAAAGTAGCGCCTCTGCTGCCTCTCCTTCAAATGTCTAGACACCACCACGAGGCGCTGCACTACCTCCTCCATCTCCTTTTGAACGGAACGCGTCACCCAAATGCCAGGCCGGAGCATGGCAACTCCACATGAATGTTTACCTCTCTTCTTGCTGCTGCTGCTGCTGCTAGGCTTTGTGACCAGCCCTTCCGGCCACGAATCACCAAAGAAGCAGCTCAAGATCGGCTGTGCAGCAGGAGAATGACCTCCTGATGGTTGGTTGTTGGGGTCTTCATCTGTTGCTACTGCAGCACCACCACTGCGGACCTCTGAAGCCAGGCGGCTGGCAAGGCGCTGCAGCAGCCGTAGAGAAGCACAAAACAGAAAACAAAGAAAGAAGGTATAAACATTAAATAAAATATTTATATTTATGCTTTTTACAATAGGGAAGCTGGATGGAAACCAAACCGCATCGTATCCGAAAGCGTAAACCCTAAACCCTGACTGACTCCCTCACCCCCTAAACCCTAAACCCTAAGCAACAGCAAGCAAGTTAGCAACAAAGAATGGTGAATGCAACTAAAAAGAATAACGAAACAAAAAGACTCACCATATATGCGCGACGCCAGGCTTCGCGCACTGCCATAATCTTGTGCGCAGAGGAGCCTATGTCTCGTGTGCGTTCCTGCAGCAACAGCAGCACCAAACCAACAGCATGAACTTAGCAGCAGCCACGCGCCTCCTCCTTTGTCTGTCACCTGCAGCAGGGTGGCGAGTGTCTCCGCATGCACCGCAAGGTCCCCTACATGCTCCCTACACCAGTCTACACCAGCAGCACCTCGCTTATGTAGGATAGTGCTGCTGCTGCTGCTGCTGCTGCTGCTCGGGGAGCAGGATTTAAACGCGGCTTCCTTCTTACCAGGGGGCTCTCCGCACTCAGCCGCATCGGATTCATTCCTCTTCTGATGCTTCGCTTCATCAACAATTCTCCCTCTTCTCTGACGCTGCAAACCAAAGAACAGCAGAATACAGCCAATACATAAATCACCAGCACATGCGTGCATGCACTCGTGCATGCACTCGTGCATGTACGTGCATGCTTATCCCCAACAAAGGCTACCCTCTTGCTGCAGGAAAAAGTCCTTAACACATATTCGTCAGCAGAACTGGAGCACTGCAGCAGTACAACAACCCTTAAATACATCATAAAAACCAGCAGCAGCAGTATCATGATGATGATGATGATCAGCAGCAGTATCATAAGCAATAGTAGCAACAGAAGCAATAGAAGCAACACAACAGCAACAGGAGGAGAAGGAATAAATATATACCTGATAGTATTATTTGCATAATTGAATTCATATCCAAAATAATGAACAAATTGAAATAATAAATGGCCCAAATTTAAATGTCGAACTTTTTCGGTATTTCTTAGCAAAGGATTATTTTGTAGAAAATGTAGGCACTGCAACAATAGTATACATAAACAGCAGACAGGCATGCATGCATGCATGCATGCATCTATGCAGGCAGGCAGCAGCAGAAGCTGCAGCAGCAGAATCAGACGTAACAGCAAAAGACGTAACAATAGTCGTGGTCTGGTGGCTCATTTATGTTAGCTACAGCTGATGCAGATATCGCTATAGCAGCAACTATGCGGCATTTGCTGCTGCAGCAGCAGGTATATTTTGCTGCTGTTGCTGCAGCAGCAGCTGCTGCAGCAAGTATGGGTCTACCTTACCATCGTAAACAGCAAATAAGAACCAACGCCACCCTTAAATGGCTCATGAAGATCTAAGTGCCGCAGCAGCAACTTGTTGAGCAGCACAAGAGGGCGCAGCAGCGGATACTCGGTAAGCTGCAGCAGCAAACAAACAAACAAACAAACAAAAAGAAGAAATGCTGCTGCTTCTGCTGCTGCAGCAACATTAAATAGAACCTGCTGCTACGAAAACAACAATCACCCTAAAAGCTGCATCAATACTGCTGCTGCTGCTGCTGCTGCTGCTGCTGCTGCAGGTTTATTCTGGTGCACCTGCAGTGCACCTGCTGCACCCGATACAAAGGTGGCCCCTTGTATATCTCTATGTTGCTGCATGCATGTATGCATGCATACACGGATATAAGGCCCCAGTAAAAGCAAATATGTATAAGGGAAGGGAATAAGGGAAAAGGAGGGGAAAAAAAGGGAAAAAGGAGGGAAAAAAAGACGAACTTTATAACGAACAAAGAGAGAAGTTAATAATGCAGAAGGTTGATCAAAACTTAGATCAACAGACACCCCAGTTGGTGCATCCTTATATTTACATATAGGTACTCTTGCCTTAAGAATAGGTTGTATATTATATGCAAATGTTGCTGCTCCTGCTGCAGTTGCTGCTGCTGCTGCTGCTGCTGCTGATTCTGATGCTGCTGATGCTGTTGCAGAAAAAGCAGCAGAAGTTGAATCATGCTGCTGCTGTTGCAGCTGCTGTTGCTGTTGCAACATGTGCTGCAAATGCTGCTGCAACTCCTCCTGCTGCTCCTTAGGAAGAATATCTAATGCTGCAGCACGAGATGAATCTGTTGCTGCTGCTGCTGCTGCTGCTGTTACTGCTGCAGCACCTTCATTCAACTCCCGTAGGAAACGCACAAAACGCTGCATGCAGCAAATAGACACACACCAACAGCAACAGCAGCAGCAATATAAATAAATATAAATAAATATAAATAAATAAATATAAATAAATATAAATAAATAAATAAATAAATACTTACACAAATATTATCTACCTTCTTCTCCCTATCATACTCATGCTCATTACTATTTGCTGCTCGCAGCAGCAGACGGCATCCTTCTGCTGCACCATGTGTGCAGCAGCTGCTGCACATTTTTTGCTGCATCTTTTCCTTATTCTTTTTCTTTTTCTTCTTGCTGCTGCTGCTGCTACTACTACTACTATCAGCAGCAGCAGCAGCAGCAGGATCCAATCGTGAGCAGCAGCAACGAACAGAACTTGCTGCTTCCCTGCAGCAGCTAACTGCAGCATTGATAAACATATTATTTTTCCCGTTATGTCCCTCTTTTTTGCTGCTACCCTTGCTGCTGCTGCTGCTACTACTACTACTACTACTGCTGCTGCTGCTGCTGCTGCAGCAGCAGACACATTGACTACATCTATATAGATGTAAATAAGGAGGAATAAGATGAATAAATACACAAATATCTAAATCACTATTAGGTAAATCTAATGATGTAAAAGAAGAACCAAATATTTCTACAGATAAACATTTATATAATTTGCTGCAAATTGCATGCACTCGTCCTGCTGCCTGCATGCATGCATGCATGCATCCACACACACACACACACACACACACACACACACACACACACACACACACAAGTCTTCCTGTTGCTGCTGCTGCTGCTGATCCTGCTGCTGCTGCTGGTGCTGCTGCTGCTGGTGGAGGTGGTTCTGGTGGTGGTGCTACAGGTGGAGGTGGTGCTGATGGTGGTGTTGTATGTGTTGTTCTTGCTGCTGCTGCATGCATTGCTGCTGCTGCTGCTGCTGTTGTTGTTGCTGCTGTTGCTGCTGCTATTTACCTCTCTTTTTCTTGCATCTTCTTCCTCGCTAGGTCTTAGCATATTTAACAAGGCAACACATTCTGCATGCATTCTACCAAAGAAATCTGCTCCTGCTGCTGCTGCTGCTGCTCCTGCTGCAGCAACCTCAGCAGCACAAGCTTCTGCTCTTGCTGCTGCCTCCATTCTCTCCCTGTCTCTCTTAAGGGGTCTAGGGCCCCTTATAGATCCTCTCTCCCTATAATGCTGCTGCTGCTGCTGCTGCTGCAGCCGCAGCAGCTTCTCGTGCTGCTGCTGCTGCCATGGCTGCAGCGGACGCCGCTGCTGCGGCGACTGCTGCTCCTCAGGTAGATTAGGCAACAAAGTAAATTCAGGTAGAGGGAGCGGTTGACGATCCCGATCCCAATCCCGATCCCACTTCCCTCCTGCTGCTGCTTCTGCACCTGCACCAGCAGCAGCAGCAGCAGCAGCAGCAGCAGGAGCAGCAGCTGCGTTGCTGCCCTCTGTACTGCATGCATCTGTCTCATTAGTCTCTGCAGGAGACAGATCCCCTTCTCTTAATTTATCATCATTTCTTTGTTTATAAATAGAAGAAGGGGGCCCCTGTGGGGGCCCCCCAGGGGCCCCAGCAGGGGGCCCCTCCCAATATCCTGGTGACCCTGGGGGCCCTGGGGGCCCTGGGGCCCCCTGGGGGGCCCCTCTTTGTTTATTTTCTTTTTCTTCTCTTCTTTTATTAAGAAGACAACGAATAGTTTTATTTGTTTTTCTTTGTTTCTCTATTTGCTGGGGATTTAGTAATAAATAGGCCTCTGCCCCTATAGAGGATATAGCAGCAGCAGCAGCAGAATCTGCTGCTGCTGCTGCTGCTGCTGCTGCTGCTGCTGCAGTAGTAGCAGAAGCAGGAGAAGGAGATGAAGGACGAGAAGAAGAGAGAGATATAGCAGAAGGGGATGTTGCTGTTCCTTCTCCTGCTTCTCCTGCTGCTGCTGCTGCTGCTGCTGCTGCTGCTGGTGTGACTCTTGAGCTTTTATTATCTGCTCTAGTACCCTTTAACAGGGTACTAGGGGCCCCCACTGGAGGGTCATGAGGGAGCGAAGAGAGCAGGGGGCCCCTGGGGCCCCTGCTGCTGGGTACAAACATCTTTAAGGAGGGATCTACAAGTTAGGGGGCCCCCCTTCTGCTACTGACATGGAGGGACAAAGGGCCCCCGGCTGCTGCTCTGCTGCTGTTATAACCCTATAAGCAGAGCTGTCTGTACACCCGAGGAGTAGAGGAGAAGATACTCCTACCGTGAGGCCTGGGCCTGCTGCTGCTGCTGCTGCTGCTGTTGCTGATGCTGTTGCTGCTGCTGCTGCGTCTTAGAGCCTTAGAGCCTTAAGGCTCCGCTCCAACAGATCCTGGGATCGCCCGATCCCAAGATCAACAACAAGGGGAAGCAGCAAAAGAAGAAGAGCAGCAGCAGCAGCAGAGGGGCCCCCTGGCCCCGTTGCCGCAGCAGCAGGGGGCCCCCTAGCTACATAGAAATATAGATCGTACTGCTGCTGCTGCGTCTTCTGCAGCAAATATATGCAATCAATAGACAAATAAATGCAATATTTAATTAATATAATAATAATTAAAGTAATATAAGAAGATAAAAGGGACAAAAAGGGTTTATTGGGGCCCCTACTGTACCCCTTCCTCTTGTGCTTGTGTTTAGGTGTGGGGCCCCGTGATTATGTTAACACCATAGTACAGCAGCAGATTAACTGAATAAACGTTGAATAAAACAGTAAAAATAAATAAAAAATAAATTAATTTAAATAATTAATTAATATATATATTAATTTATTATTATTCCTCTCTTTTATTTAATGATCGTACACCCGCCGCTGCCTCCCGGGTGTCTAGGCAGCAATGCTGCGCTGCCTTGTTATGATTTGTTTGCTTATTATTTAGCATTTTTATTTATTAATTGTTTTATTTTTAATTATTTAATTATTCTAATTAATTTATTAATTAATTATTTAATTAGTTTGTTAGTTGTTTGCCGCTTAGGGAGTCTTGTATATACAGCACGAGGACCGTCGTATTTCCTTCCTTCCTTTGTTTCTTTTTTCCTGCATTTATTTATTTAATTAAATTATTTTTCTTTATTAAATCTTTTTCTTTATAAATATATTATTATTTATTATAAATATATTATTAATTATATAAAGATGCATGCATGTACACGTATATATACATATATATATTATTAATTAATGAGTTATTCTCCTTAGGTGTATATACACCATAAAAAAAGTAATTAAATACTTTTTTTCTTTTTCTCTTTTTTTCTTCTTTTTATCTCTTTTTCCTCTATTAATAGGCACAATTAATTATAAATAATATATTTTATTAATTATTTATTAATTATTTATTTATTATTTATTTTATATAACAAGGCAATAGGAAGAAATAGATATTTTTCTTATGAATAAAAAAGAGGAAAAAGTAATAAATAAATAAATAAATAAATAAATAAATAAATAAATTAATATTATATATATAAGGTAATTAATTAACAAATAATATTATTTATTTATTTATTTATAAATTAAATATATAAATTGCTGTATATAAATAAATAGAAATGCATACATACAATTGCAGCAGCAGCAGCAGGTTGCAAAGCAGCAGCAGCAGCAGCAGCGGCAGCAGCAGCAGCAGCAGCAGCAGCAATTAGCGTTGCTGCTGCTAATGCTGCTGCCCTCTTATACCTCTCCCTCTTATGCAGCAGCAAATAGAGGACTGCTAAACCCTAAACCCTAAACCCTAAACCCTAAACCCTAGAGAATGAGGAATTCTTTGCTGCACTTCGTTATTGTTGCTGCTACTGTGCTTGCTGCTGCTGCTGCTGCTGCTGCTGTTGTGATTATTCGCTGGCTCTGGTATTGTTAGAGTTGCTGGTGCGGTTGCTGCTGCTGCTGCTGCTGCTGCTGCTGTGGTTGGTGCTGCTGCCTTTGTTGCTGGTGGTGCTGTTGCTGTTGCTGCTGCCTTCCTTCCTGCTGCTGGTGTGTTTGCTGGCGCTGCTGTGTGTCTGCTGCTGCTGCTGCTACTGCTGCTACTGCTGCTGCTGCTGCTGCACTCCTTACCTGCAGCTTTTACCTCGCACGCAGCAGGCAACAGCAGCGTGGGCCCCCCTTGCTGCTGCTGCTGCAACTGCAGCAGCAGCAGCAGCAGCAGCAGTTGTCTGCATAACGTTTGCTGCTATTAAATAAAATAAATAAATAAAAATATATTTATAGGTGTATATACACCGCATGCAATAAAGAAAAAAAAGAAGAAAATAAATAAATAAATAAATAAATATATAAATAAATAAATATTTCTTCTTTTCCTTTTTTTCTTCTTTTTCTTGTATTACTTTTATTTATTTATTTATTTATTTATTTATTTATTTATTTATTTATTTATTTATTTATTTATTTAGTAAATAAAAAACATATTATGTTTATTATATTATATACATAGTATATGTATAAATACTATTTATTATATTATGTATAATATATATTATTTTGTTTATATTTATTTATTTATTTATTTATATTTATTTATTTATTTATTTATTTATTTATTTATTATTTACTATTTATTTATTATTTATTTATTTTTTATTTAATGCTATATAGAAGGAAAAAAGGGGAAAAAAGAAGAAAAAGAAGAAAAGGTTATTTATTTTATTATTTGTTTATTAATAAAGTGTATATACACCCTAATTAATTAATTAATTAATTAATTAATTAAATAATTAATTAATTAATTAATTAATTAATTAATTAAGAATAAAAAGAAATAAAAGGAGAAAATATTTTCTTAATATCTTCTGTTTCTTCTTGCCATAGCAGGCCATTGTCGGCACACGCTGCTGTTGCTGCTGCTGCTGCTGCTGCTGCTGCTGCTGCATGCAGCAGCAGCAGCAGATAACGACACTGCATGCAGCAGCAGCAAAAAAAAAAATAAAAAAGGAAATTAGCTGCAGCAATTAAAAGGAGACATTGCTGCTGCTGCGGGGATCGCACGATCCCAGACACCTCAAAGGAGGGGCCCCGCTGCCGACTGCCACCGCTGCAGCTGCTGCTGCTGCTGCTGCTGTTGCTGCTGTTGCTGCTGCTGCATGTTTTGCATCTTTTTGCTTCCTTTTCCTTTTTGCTAGACTTTTTTATCTTTGCACCGCGGCCTATATTGAGTGCCTTGCAGGGCCACCGCGCTGCTGCTGCTGCTGCTGCTGCTGCTGCTGCAGCATTGGTGTGTAGCTGCAGCAGCAGCAACAGCAGCAACAGCAGCATCCGGCTGTTAATTGGAGCCCTGCTGCCCCTTAACTGCATCTCTTTGTCATTTATTTGACTCAAAGCTCTTCAACTAACTGCACAGTTGCTGCTGCTGCTGCTGCTGATGCTTACCTCTCCGAGCAGCAGCAGCAGCAGCAGCAGCAGCAGTAGTAGTAGTAGAAATAAGACCCATCTGTAGATTTAGCAGCATTTACTGCCTGTGGGTCGACCTGCTGCATGCTGCAGCACTGATACGAGGCAACCTCTAAACCTACAGCAGCAATTGCTGCTACTCTTGCTGCTGCTGCTGCTGCTGCTGCTGCTGCTGCTGCTCGAACACATGTGCTGCAGCAGCAGCGCTGCAGCGGGAAATGGCGGGCCCCTGCACGACCTGCCCCATGTCTCCCCCTGGGGAGAGGGGGGGGCCCCCAGAGCGGCACACCCATAGCAAGCAACTCAGCAGCAGCAGCAGCAGCAGCAGCAGCAACCGTAGCAACAGCCGCAACAACAGCAGCAGCAACAGGAAGAGACACAGCAGCAGCAAACGCAGCAGCAAAAGGCTTGAAGACACCGCGATGAAGTCCTCAACACAGGCAGCACAGTTGGCCAGCAGCAGCAGCAGCTACCGCAACAGGAGCAAAAGCAGCAGCAGCAGTAGTAGCAGCAGTAGCAGCAGCAGCAGCAGTACGAGCAGACGAAAGAGCAGCACAAGCAGCAAACATAAAAGCTCCGGGCGACCCAGTGTTACTCGTGAGGCTCAGCAGCAGCAGCAACTGCAGCAGGAGCAGCAACTGCAGCAGGAGCAGGATGAGCAGCAGCAGCATGAGGAGGCGCCAACACTAGATCCATGGCGCCTACCCTCGCTGTCAAGCTCAAGCAGCAGCAGAGGCAGCAGCAGCAGCAGCAGACCATATGCTACTGCTAGACCTGCTGCTGCTGCTGCTGCTGCTGCTGCCAGCAGCAACCGCCGGCCTACGAGTTTGCTGCGCCGTCTGCGCGCCCTTGAGGAGAAGCTGCTGCTGCAGCGGGAGCCTAATAAAGCGCGCAGCAGCAGCAGCAGCACCAGCAGCAGCAGCAGCCGCAGCAGCAGCAACACCAACAGCAACAGGAGAAGAGACGACAGCCGCAGCAGAGCTCTTGCTGCTGTTGCTGCTGTTGGCAGCCAAATCCCTAGGATAAAGAGGCAGCAGCAACGATTGACAGCAGCAGAGGAAGGAACTGCTGCTGCTGCTGCAGCAGCAGCAGCAGCAGACACGCCCAGCCCTCAATGGCACCACAAAGAGCTGTTAAAGGCAGCCACACGCAGCAGCAGCAGCAGCAGCAGCAGCACTAGCTGCAATGGCTACAACGTCTGCAGCGGCAACAGCAACAGCAACAGCAACAGCAACAGCAATATGAGCAGCAGCTGCTGCTGTTGCGATGCACGTCGTGGCTCAGGACCTGGAGCAGCAGCAGCAGCAGCAGCAGCATCGAGTGACGGAGCAGCAGGGGCACTAGGAGACCAGCAGCAGCAGCAGCAAGATCTGCTGCAGCACGAAGTGCTGCTGCCAAGTAAAGTGCAGCGGTCACACAGGAGACGCCACAGCAGCAAGAGCAGCAGGAGGGACCAGCAGCACCAGCAGCAGCAGCAACAGCAGCAGCAGCAGGAGGTTAGCCTTAATGACAGAAGCAAGACTGATGTCTCCGAGGCCCACAGACTGCAGCAGAAGCAGCTGCTGCTGCTGCAGCAGCAACAACAACTGTTACTGCAGCAGCAGCAGCAGCAGCTATCTTTGCTGCTTCAACAAAGTCCGAAGCAGCAGCAGCTGCTGCAGTATGCATGCAGCGACAGCCACACATCTCCCCCAAGGAAGAGGGACACGAAAGCAGCAGCAGCAGCAGCAACAGCAACCGCAGCACCCGCTGCTGCTGCTGCTACTGCTGCTGCTGCTGGCTTTAATAGCCAACTCTCCTCCCTACAAGAGGACCTCCGCTCTCTTAAGGAAAGGCTGCTGCGGCCGCTGCGGGAGGCTCGTGCTGCTGCGCCCCACAGACAGCAGCAGCAGCAGCTGCTGCTGCTGCAGCAGCAGCAGCAGCAGCAAGAGCAGCAGCAAGAGCAGCAGCAGCACTCGAGGGGAAAAGGGGACCCCCGTTCAAAGGGTATTGAAGATCTGCTGCACTCAGTGGGGACCCTAGGGGCCCCTGTGGGGCCCCAATGGCACGCCTTGACAACCGGCAGCAGCAGCAGCAGCAGCAGCAGCAGCAGCAGCAGCGAAACAACTGCTGCTGCTTTAATCAAGCCGCGGTGTCTTGCAATGAGCGAGGAGAACGTCGATGAACTCAGGCAGCAGCAACACAAAGAGCAGCAGCAGCAGCAACAGCAACAGCAGCAGCAGCAACCGGTGCTGCTGCTGCAGGATGGTGCGAACTCTGCAGGCAGCGCGGTGTCTGATATGAAAACCGGTGCAGCAGCAGCAACAGCAGCAGCAGCAGCAGAAGCAGCAAATGCTGCATGCGGTGTATGGACAGATACAGAAGCAGCCTCGTCAGCTTCTTTGCCCCGACTGCAGCTGCAGCAGAAGCAGCAGCAGCTGCTGCTGCAGCAGGAGCAGCAGCAGCAACGCAGCAGCGAGCTGCATGCATCCAACCCTCGGGACACAGAGGTAGAGCACGAATGGAATTCTCTGCAGCAGCAGCTGCAGCAGAAAGCAGCAGCAGCAGCTGCTGCTGCTACTGCTGCTGCTGCTGCTACTTCTGCTGCTGGCAGGCTATCCCCAGTGTCCGCTGCAGAGCTGCAGCTCCCCAGCAGCAGGGCAGCCGTTGCACCCCGTGCAGCAGCAGCAGCAGCAGCAACAGCAGCAGCAGCAAATGAGTCGCGCGATAGGCTTACAGCCAACGCAGCAGCAGAAGCAGCAGCAGCAGCAGCAAACGCAGCAGATGCTGCTGCAGCAAAAGGCTCAGCAGCAGAAAACAAGGGAACGGTGTTGATTCCCTCACCGCAGCAGCAGCAGCAGAAGCGCCCCGCTGCAGCAGTTGTTGTTGGTGCTGCTGCTGCTGCTGCTGCTGCTGCTGCTGTAGATGATGATGACGACCTTGGGTACGATTTGCATGCAGCAGCAACTCACGCGGTGTCTCGGCACCAGCAGCAGCAGCAGCGGCTTAGCCCTGTCCGTACCTGCATACGATCTGCTGCAGCAACTGCAACTGCAACTGCAGCCACTGCAGCAGCAGCAGCAGCAACAGATGATGCTTGTCTCCCTACATTGCTGCTGGCGACCTCAAGACAGTCACCAGAAGCAGCAGCAGCAGCAGCAGATGCAGCACGGCTTGGTCATGCTGCTGCTGTCTCCTCGCCTGGAGAAATAAAGAAGCAGCAACAGCAGCAGCAGATGCAGCAGCAGCCGTTGCAGCAGCAGCAGCAGCAACAGCACCATCATCTTCATGGTGTCTTGAAGAGACTTGACGTCAGTTGTCACCAGCAGCAGCAGCAGCAAGAGCAGCAGCAGCAAAAAGAGCAGCAGCAGCAGCAAGAGCAGCAGCAGCAGCAGCAGCAGCAGCGGCATCTATATCACCGTCAACAAGAGCCAACAATTCGGGTGCATCATCATCATCAGCAGCAACAGCAGCAGCATGAACAGCAGCAGCAACTGCAGCAGCAGCAGCAACTGCAGCAGCAGCAGCAACTGCAGCAGCAGCAGCAGCAGCAGCAGCAGCAGGAATCCAAGACAACTTCGTCTCCTTCTTACCACCGCGTTAGAGGGCGGCTGCGGCCGATGAGCGGCAACAGCAGCAACAGCAGCAATAGCAGCAGCAGCAGCAACGGCAACAGCAGCAGAAGCAGCAGCAGCAACCACAACAACAACTCGCCGCTACATCTGCATGCTGTACGGTCACCAGCAGCAGCAGCAGCAGCAGGAGCAACAGCAGCGGCAATAGCAACATCAGCACCAACAGCAACAGCAGCAGCAGCAGCAGCAGCAGGCACTTTTCCCTCCTCAGAGTCCGCAGCAGTAGCAGCTGCAGCAGCAAGACAAACAGAAGCAGCAGCAGCAACAACAACAACAAGAACACAAACAGAAGCAGCAGGAGTAGCAGCAACAATAGCAGCAGCAACAGTAACAGCAGCAACAGAAACAACAATAGCAGCAGACTTGCCAGCTGCTGAAGCAGCAGCAGCAGCAGCAGCAACAGCAGCAACAGCAGCAGCAACAAGAGCAGCTGCTGCTGTTACGTCTCCTAGGCCAGCAGCAACAGCGGTGCGCCACTGCCGCTCGTGGTCAGGGGGAAGCAGCAGCAGCAGCAGCAACAACAACAACAACAACAGCAGCAGCAGCAGCAGCAGCAAACAGGGCATGCAGCTGCTTGCTGATCTTGCTGGTCTTACAGATGCAGCAGATTTGCTGCTTGCTGCTATAGGGGGAGAAGAAGAGAAGTTGCTGCCGCTGCTGCAGACAGCAGCAGCACCATTGACTACACCCAACAGCAGCAGCAGCAGCAACAGCAGCAACAGCAACAGCAACAGCTGCTGCCTCCGCCATGACCTTCAGCACGAAGTGCTGCTGAAGCAGCAGCAGCAGCAGCAGCAACTGCTGCTGCACCAGCAGCAGATTCGAGGCTTTAGTTATCAGTACGCACAGCAGCAGCAGCAGCAACAGCAGCAGCAGCAGCAGCAGGATGCATCAGAGCACGATAAGATAAGACAGCAGCTGCAGCAGCAGCTGCAGGAGCTGCAGCAATCGCTGCTGCTGCAGGGGGAGACAGGAGGGGCCCCTGTTGCCCCTCCGGGTGTACTGGCAGCTGCTGATGGTATAGGTAGTGTTTCTTCTCCCTGCAGCAGCAGCAGCAGCAGCAGTAGCAGCAGCTCTATTGGTGATGGTCCTGCTGCTGCATTTGCTGCTGCTGCACCACCCGATGCTGTCTTCGAGGAGACACCCATCATGGCCCCTTGCTGCAGCGCCCCCTCTCCGCAGCTGTCTCCTGTTAGCCAGCAGCAGCAGCAGCAGCAGCAGCAGCAGGAGCTGCAGCAGGAGCTGCAGCAGGAGCTGCAGCAGCAGGAGCAGCAGGAGACTCATCTGCTTCCGTGGCAGCTGCAGCAGCAGCAGCGACAGCAAACATTGAAGCGACGGCTTAAGGAATGGAGACAGCATCAGCAGCAGCAGCAGCAACTGCAGCAGCAACTGCAGCAGCAGCAGCAGCAGCAACTCCGTGACCTCGATACATCTACCTTCAGCAACAGCTCTGCAGGCATCTCGCCGTCACCCCTCTTCCTCCTGCAGCAGCAGCAGCAGCAGCAGCACGTGTATCAACAGCAGCAGCAGCAAGTGCATCAGCAGCAGCAGCAAGTGCACCATCGGCAGCAGCAATGGCAGCAAGTGCAGCAGCAGCAGCGGCGGTCGCTGGTGTCTCCAAGTAGTGCAGCAGCAGCAAAAGAAAAAGATTTGCTGCTGCTGAATCCTGCCTATACAGTAGAAGCTGCTGCTGCTGCTGCTGCTGCAGACATGGGTACACTAACAACAGCAACAGCAACACCAGATGCTGCTTCTGCTGCTGCTGCCTTTGATTGCGGCCCTCCTGCTGCTGCTCATCCTGACCCTGCAGCAGCAGAAGCAGCAGCAGATACAGCAGCAGCAGCAGCAGCAGCAGGGAGCCCAAGCAGGCCGGTCTCCGAGGGGGAGGTGCAGCAGCAGAGCATGCGCTCCTGTGTACATACCCATAAAGGACGCAGAGCAGCAGCAGCAACAGCAGCAGCAGAAGCAGCAGAAGCAGCTGCTGCTCCTTCTCCATTTGCTGCACCAACGGATGGAGCAGCAGCAGCGGGATTCGCAGCAGCAGCTGCTCAGTCTTCACCTGCAGCAGCAGCAGCTGCAGCAGCAGCAGCTGCAGCAGCAGCTGCTGCTGCAGCAAATGCAGGAGGTGCAGTAGCAGCAGCTGCTGCTGTTTCTGCTGCTGCCTCCAAGACACAGAGGCAGCAAGCACTCAATAGCTTCATGCTGCTGCAGCAAAGATCTCCTGCTGCGCTGCTGTCTCCTAGCGATAGGTACGAAGTGCAGCAGGCGCTGCAGCAGCTATACCTTGCTGCTTCCCAGAAGCAGCAGCAGCAACAGCAGCTCCTGCTGCAGCAGCAGCAGGAGCAGAGGAGCCAAAGCCGTGTCTATCCGTCCACGCTGATGCACACACCACCTGCTGCTGCAGCAGCAGCAGCAGCAGCAGCAGCAGCAGCGGAGTACACAGTAGACGCTAGTGAATGCCTTCACCATAGCACCAGCGCTGCAGCAGCAGAAGCAGAAGCAGCAGCAACTGCTGCTGCAGCAGCACTTTCCCCTCCGTCAGCTTGGCAGCAGCAGCAGGAGCAGCAGCAGGAGCAGGAGCAGCAGCAGCAGCAGCAAAGGGGAAGAAGAACACCAACATTGGGCCAGCGTCTCCTTGCTGCTGTTCGTGGAGGGCGCAGCCGCTCGAGCCAGCAGCAGCGGCAACAGCAGCAACAGCAGCAGCAGCAGCAGCAGCAGCAGCAACAGCAGCAGTTGCTGCTAGAGCAGCAATACCGACCATTAGCAACATTCCCTGTTGCTGATGACAC